CTCTCTCTCTCTCTCTCTCTCTCTCTCTCTCTCTCTCTCTCTCTCTCTCTCGATGTCGGTTTCAGGCAGATAATTCTCAAAATATTAATTTGTCTGCTATCATCAAAGGAATCAGGTTGGATTCTGTTTGCCCTTAGGTTCCTCTTTTACATGCCTTTGTTCCGTTTGTCCCCAATGTGTGTTCTCGCATGTTTTCGACTTTCTATTGTTTCTTAAAATATGTGAGAAAAGTTCTGAACGGGTTTTGTTCTTTTTTTTTTTCATTTAAAAATATTTGCTCACTCTGAACGTGTATAGTGTTCAACTACGCTTTATTTTTAGAAGAGCTCTTACTTTCTTTAATGTACTATCTAACTTTTGAGATCTTTAAAAAGAAAAGGAAAAGGGATGTGGTCTCTTTATGTAGTCTCAAAAAAGCATTCATATTGGTGACGCACTTTTCTGTGTGTTAATAAAGTTATAAGTATAGTGTATAGTATATTATATAACATACATGAATATTCTAAAGGATAAGTGGGCTTTTTAAAAAGTAGACGACACCATTGTGTTAACTGTCTAGAGTTTTACATTTTTAACTTATAGAAGGCTAACTTAGTTTCAATATGAAATATGTATTAGAAGATCGTTCGCTTATCTAATAACCAATCTCTCTCGAGAAGTAATCGATAGTTCTAGTATTGTCGAGAAAAGACCCCAGCATTAGTAACGTTTTACATCAACATAATGTATGTTATTCATTCTTTTAAATTATTCACTCGTAGCTGTTGATCTCAACTACAGCTCATACGTTTATATTAAAGTGCTTTTATTCTACACAGTTTGAAACTGAATATTGCAAATAGAATATTAATAAAGGAAAGACAAAAACTCGCAGGAAATATACGTAGATTTACAGGAAAGAAAACTACTGAAGGCAAAATGTTGTAACAGTTCGTGTGTACTTTCGTTTAGCGTTTAGATGTGCTTTTGTTCTGATTTCATGATTTGTATGTTTCTATGGTGAAGATTGTTACTTATTATCGTACGACAGTAGTAAGAAATTGTCTCATAGTGCTGGAAAAATACTGTAGGCCTAGTGCACCAAAGTATCTTATATTTTAATATTTTTTTTACGATTATCATTTGGCACGCTGTCTGAATCGTTGCTGCAATATGATGCACCTCATTTGATACTTAGAAGCACAAAGGGTATTTTGCTGCTTGGTAATTGTTGAAGAAATAAAATTTCTATCTACTGTGTTGATAAAAATATTCATTTTTTACTACAGAAAAATGACCTACTTGATAATTAGTTTTGTTCGAAGAAAAAGACTTTTATTTTAGTGCACAGAAGTTGTAGCTTCTTGTCATTTAACAGTGATTCCATGTTTTTATGTTAATTAAAGGAGCAGCGAACAAGAAAACATACGTGGCTGTCGCTAAACGAAGTGATTCTATCTGTAAATTTGCTGTTAATGTTTGCACAACGCAATTCGGTTTAGTAGTCTTTGGGTATTGACAGCCTTTGCCATTGAGTTGCCTTAGCTGTAATTCTGACCGGTGCCTGTGCTCAAAACTAGTGCATGTATATGAAGACTACACCATTTATTTATCTTACAGTTCTCGGATACCAGAATTGCCTCCCATCTTAGTTCCCTCCTCCAAGGTAGTGGGTCGTTCTGACTCTCAATGTCGTTGCCATTGTGTCTGCTCTCCCTTGGCTTTGCCGTCTGCTGTCTGTCGTGTGTCGTCTGTTGTTGTGTTTTCTGGTGTCGAGTCATTGCCACGGAGGAGTCACCATGGGCGTGGTACCTCCAAAACTTGAACTTTCAGATGGTCGTCCTCCAAAACGTGAATTTTTTTTCTGTATGTCAAAGTTTATAACTCTTTCTACAAATATACCACAATGTGTTGCAATTTGCTTGCCGTAATGTGTAAATAATGTTTTTGTATGCTGGAACACTGGACACTTTTGAATGCCAACCCCTGGATCTTGCGGTTACATTTGTATAACTTTTTTTTAAATGTGTTCATTCCTTTAAAATCAACAAACGAATATCAGTGTAATGTTTACCGTTCATTCTGGCTTTTCGAAACAGTTCACTAATGTTCACAATAACTAAGGTGTGAGTTGATCTAAGCTTTAAAAGTAAAAGGAAACACCAAAGAAACACAGAAACCCTTGTTGATAAAGTTTTTGCAAACGCTGCTATAGGAGCTCGTACGGATAGAAAGTGTACGTTTTGGCAGACGGCCTTCTTTGTTTCCCTAAACAACTACGAATATCTTGGAGAGAAAAAACGTTCGGTTTTTGGAGGTTTGTCCAAAATAACCGCATCGGTTTATATGATATGATATGGAAAAGGGGTTCATGAGTTCAGAGATATTGGTGCTGGGGGGAAAACATAAGTAGCCAGCCACTAATAGTAAGCTGCAAGTTCTCTCATCCAAAGAGAAGTGAAGATAACATGATACCGTCTACTGGAAGAAGTTGACTGTGTGCTTTAAAGAATTTTTGAGGCTTCGAAAACACTGACATTTTCCATCTAAACACCCCCCCCCCCCCCACACACACACACACTCTCTCTCTCTCTTTTGTTTTCTTTCTCTCGTCTCTCTCTATACAATACACTCTCTCTCTCTCCCTCTCTCTCTCTCTCTCTCTCTCTCTGTCTCTCTCTCTCTCTCTCTCTCTCTCTCTTCCCTCTCTCTCTCTCTCTCTCTCTCTCTCTCTTTCCCTCTCTCTCTCTCCCTCTCTCTCTCTCTCTCTCTCTGTCTCTCTCTCTCTCTCTCTCTCTCTCTCGCTCTCTCTCTTTTTCTCTCCCTCATCTTACCACCGTAAGTCTTATACATTGTCAATTTAGGTAGCCTTGGTACATAGAGCATAATCTTGGAATGTGAATGAGATTTTTCTTGAATATCAGATATGACAAGTTTTTAGCTCTGTAAATGAAAATTGGGCATAAACTTGTTTTTGTGGTTTCAACTTTAATGCCCATTAAGACCTCCTGGACTATCTCTTTATTTCTTGTCATGTTATTTCCTCTGGTGAAGCGTGTGTGCTGATGTCTTTTTCCCCCACCTTTCATTGTGTCTTTTGTTTTTGTTTTTGTTTTTAATTGTCCTTACGGAAAATTTCATAGTTTCATTTTAACGACAGATTATAGCCTTGTATTTTTAGATAGTCGTAAACTCATGGTCAAAGATTCGTAATCTTTTTTATACCGTTTTTAGAATATAATAAGCGCTTGCTTTACCATTTTCAATCCTTTCAAGGTTTCGATTTTATGAAAGGCACAATTTGCTTCAATCAGAATAACAATAGTTCAGGGTTTTCGTTCATTGTTCCTGGCTTTTGTTTAAAGATAGAAAGAAATTGGGGACGATGGTCTTTGTATAAAGCAGTGCGAGAGATAAGTGGGGGTCGAGGTGTAGGAGAGAGAAAGACAGAGAGAGAGACAGAGTGAGAGCCCGTGTCTTTACTGTCGTGAAGAAATATTTATACACCCGCATGCATACTGTGTATGCCAAAAGGAAGCAGATGTCATTGTCTATGTGGTTCATGCAGTCTCCGCTTGTCGACATCCCTGTATGGGTGAACTGACAACTCTTTGTAGAACGCTGGTTCCTGGTCCCGGCTTGCTGTGTGCATTGCTTCAGAAAGAACAACGCTCATAGTCTCAGATTAAGTCGCCTCTGTTCTTATAGTCACTCACCTTAAAACAGCGGTCTAAATGACGTGTGAACTAGCCGAAGGTTTTCGTTTTAGTAAGGTTTTACAAACGGCGCTCGCAATTGCATACGGTCATATGAGCGCCAAGGGATGGATGTCAACAGAGAAGTCCAAACGGGGAATCAGGCTCACTCTGCTCACCTCTCTAGCCTCAACAGCACAAAGTCTGCTTCGACTATCAAGGCACCCCGGATATAGCAGTTCACAAAAGAATGACACACATACAAAAGAAGTAGAGGACAAATGATGATAGTAAGGATGGGGAAAGAAAAAGCAGCAGTTCCCCCTATGTTGTTCCAGAACAGTATGAGCATGCCATTGATAAATCGGCCCATTTACAATTCCTCTGTGCATAAGAACATGTTAATATCCCCCCTTTCGGAAAGGCCTAAAGACAACTTCAGTCAGTAGCACTGCCCTGGTGGGGGGGGGGGGGGGA